CTATGTTCAAAGATCAGTTTCTTGCTCAGCCATGAACAGAGAAGGTTCCTCCTGCAACAGATTTGAAGAAATACAGAGACCCACTGTCAGACATTATTATATAAAGAGTGAGAGACCATGGAATACTCAGCCCTAAATGTGATATTTCCATCAAATCCCTCCCACAGGTTCTCAGGGAACCCACTGAAAGTGAGGGCATAAAGAATGTATATAAGAGCCAAAGGGGATGGAGGACACCAAGAAAAGAAGGCCCTCAACATAATCACAGTTCATATAAACTTGCAGGAACTGTGTTCAAGGTCTGTATAGAGTCTGCAGCAGGTTGTCTGTGGACACATTCCAGTTTAGTATTTTTGTGGGATTCTTGACTCTGCAAACGTGTGGGGTCATGTGCCTTCTCTTGGGTGTGCTTCCTCCTCCTCCTCCTCCTCCTCCTCCTCATCATCATCATCATCTTTCTCCTCCTCTTCCTCCTCTTCCTCCTCCTCCTCTTCCTTCTCCTTCCCTTCCTTTTCCTCCTTCTTCCCTTTCTTCTTCTCTTTTTCCTTCTTCTTTTTTATACTTCCAATTCCAATGCGTTAGTTTTTGTTTTATTATTATACCTTAGAAGCCTGTTTGTTCTCTAAGAGACAGAAAGAGAGTATATCAGGATGGGAGGGGATGTGAGGATAAACTGGAAGGTGAAGGGAGAGGGGGGACCATAATTAGGATCTGTTATGTGAGAAAGAAAATTTATTTTCAATAAAAGAAAAAGAAAAAACAAACAAACAAACAAATGAACAAAACAAGTATCCAGAATACATTGCAACAAGATGCTTTCTTTCTGCCCTGGGAAGTTGCAAGCCTTTTCTTTACCAAATAGTAACTTTTTTTCTGAAGCAAATGTTGCCATATGTTCCTTATTTCTTAGCTGATATTATATTGATATGTGTCCGTTGTTATTAGCAGTGCAGACAGATCTTGACTAAGTGTAGGATCACTGAAATTAGTTTTAGTTGTGAGGCTGGGGATATTGTTCAGTTGTAGAATATCCACCTGGCTTGCCTGAGGCTCTGGTTTTAATCTTTGGCACCATGAAGGCACTTCCAAAAAGAAGTCCTAAAAATTGTGTTGCTGAGAATAAACTAAAACAGAGCTAAATGAACTGAGGCCATTCTGTAATGGCGGCGACATGTAAAATAATATGACCTAAAAGGTCACGGTGGTGGTTCTAGAGAAGTGGCTCACTTTTACTTGAGAGCATTTAACTCGCTGCTCCTTCACAGGATGCTAGTTCCATTCCAGGAACCTCTGTAGGACTGCCTCCAGTTCCAGGGCATTTGAATCTCTCTTCTGCCTTCTCAGGAATTCACATGGTACACAGACATACATGAAGCAAAACACTCCTATAAGCAAAATGAAAATAAATAATTTTTTTGAAGTCATAGTTTTCAGGGTTTTTTTTTTTTTTAAGTATTAGAATAGAAATTGTAGAGGCTGGATTTCACAGAGGTTCAGAGTCCACACTTCACAGGAAAGATTTTACCATAGTATATAAAATTTCAGCCAGAAGAATAGTGCTAATAACACAAAGCATTCTTCTACACTTTGAAGCAACATAAAAATCACCAATATTGACTGTCTTTGGCCCCCCAGCAGCGACAGCTTCCTAGAAATGTGCTTTTATAGAATTTCCTAGTTACAATCTAATGTGTTTAAAAACAAAACAAAACAAAAACAAAAAGCAAACAAAACAAAACTCAGCTGAGAGGGTAGGATGGAAACCCATATTTCATTCCATAATAAAGTTTGAAAAATTTTGTCCATTTAGTTTTCCAGACATGTATTTTACAGAGGTTACATGTTCCATTTTCTTATTTTAAATGATATTATTGTTTTGTGCATCCTTTTTCACAGGACGCATGAAGGGAATATATTCACATGTTACTTGATGTCATAGGAAAGCTTTTGACTAATTGGCTAGACTATAAAACAGAAATGTCTGGTTGGTGTTCTCTACACACAGTATAATTTAACTACTATGATAGCAAAGAAGATATGATGATTTGCTATGAAGTTTGTCCTTTTTCTGGGATCACAGTTTGTTACTCTCATGAGGGGCTGAGTGTCATTGCAGGTACCTTGTTGGTGGTCAAGGGCAGCCACCAGCTAGATGCCAGGGCCACGTCAGCAGGTTTTCCTGAAGAAATCAATTTCTCTCCTTCATCTTCCTGAAGAGATTGAATTTAGATACTGCACATGTCTACAGCTACACTCAGATTCAACTTCTTAACCACAATCCTATTTTTCCAAGTTGATCTTTTTACATGTTCAGGACAAAAAATCAACTTTTAACTATAGAAAAAAAACTCGACATTTAAACCCAGTTGATTTGTTACAAATAGAGATAAGTCTAAGACTTAAAAACTGAAAACTAGGGCTGGAGGAAGGTTTTCAGTGAGTAAAAGCATTTTCCATGTACCATTTGACAACCTGAGTTTAATCCCCAAAAACCCACATAAAGCTGGATGCTGAAATACATCCATAATTCTGCATTTCTAAAGCAGAGTAGGAGGCAGAGACAGGAGAATTTAGAGAATCTTGTGGGCCAGCTAAAGGCAGGAGCTGAGGAGACAGAGGAGACTGTCCACAAGGTAGATGGCCGGAACCTAGAAGGCAAGAATTGACCCTAGAAAGTTGAAAGTTGTTCCCTTGCTTACCTACACACACACACATGCACACACACACACACACACACACACACACACACACGCACAGAGAGATAGAGAGAGAGAGAGAGAGAGGGAGAGAGAGAGAGAGAATAAATAAATAAATAAATAAATATTTTAACTATTAAAGCTCTTTAGGCTATGAGGCCCAGATAAACATTTCTGTACTTAATTCTGATGCTCTAGTATGGTAATCACCAATTCTCTGGATATAAAACAAATGAATTACATTTTTATTCATTAATTTGTTTCATTTTTTGAAAGAGGGCCACATGTATGACAGGCTGGCTTTGAACTCCTTACGTAGTTGAGGACGACCTTGAACTCCCTGTTCTCTGGTAGGTTTAAATTTGCTTTAGGTGGTAATGAGGATCCGCTCAGGGGATTGTGCATGCTAAGCAAACACTCTATCAACTACATCCCTAGTCCAAATTCATAAAATTTTTCAACCAAGCAGTGACAGATCTGTAAGGAAGATCTAAGACATCACTGTCTATTAATAATAAGGCAGATGTCCCCATATGGTACCATTTTCTTTCCCAATAAACGATAAAACATGTTCATTCTTGCCAAGGATGTGCACTCTAGGTACAGAGTCTTGAAAAGTATAGAAGATGAGGGTCTTAGATGATAAGAGTCTTAGACGTTTCTTGGCATTTAGTGGGCCCAGGGTAAGAAATACAGACACAGTCAGCAGTTCAAGGGCAGAGGTCTTCTCAAGATAAATTGCATTTCTGGTTCTGAGATGGACTATGTAGGATGCACTTTTGCTTAGCCCTGCAGAAGCAACACCAGCATTAATTATACAAACAGCTTTTCTGGTTGGGTTGACTATGACTCAGCAGGACATTTCGAAAGCAGTGTCTTTCCCTCCTTATCAAGCAATTTTTAAAAAAACCTGTGGTCTGCTCTGTATGACGGGGTTAGATGTCTATGATCTAGATCTCCAGAAAGAGGTCCTCATTGTAGTGGTCTTCAAGAAACTCCAACTTTGCCAAGAGAAAACAATCACCTCCGGTTCACCTCCGGATCCTCCTACACTTTTTCTTCAAGTAGAAAACAGTCTGTCATCTTCCAGGTTAGCTGCTTGCTTTTCTGCAGCAGGTATAGAGTAGTCACACCTCCGAGAGAGAGAGAGAGAGAGAGAGAGAGAGAGAGAGAGAGAGAGAGAGGCAGGCTCAGACTCAGTCTCCTGGCTCCTTGCTTTTGGCTAAATGGCCTCTTGGAACAGGGGCGGGTTCCTTAAATAAAGACACAAAGGCAACAGAAGACAGTCCCTGCTAAAGTGACAGAAAAGGAACGGAAAACTCAGCTTGTCAGGCCCCCGGAAGCTAGGGGGTGGGGGAAGTCGTCTCACCTATTTTGGAAACTACTTACAGATGTGGGGAAACCTCGGAATTGCTCACACCAGGGGATTTTGCAGAGATTTCCTCTGATTTTTTTTTCCCTTCCTCAATTTCCCACAACCTGTGTTTGCCTTGAGTCTGCTGGGCTCAGGAGTGGTTTACCTCTCTGATCCAGCTGCCTGCTCTTATGCGCTGTCCTAGGGAGGAAATCAAACAAGTGAAGCCGAAGGGTACTAGGAGGCGCTGGGCATGGGCGCCAGAACTGTCAGAAAATTTGCGAGGCGAGTATTCCAACTTCCCTTCCTGCGCCCACGTGAGCGCTAGCTCCAGCCCATCAGCGAAGGCTTAGCGTTTTCTGCTGGTGCGATCTGGAACTCCATTTTTTTTTAAAATTAATTTCTCTAGTTCTTAGTAAAACTTTGTTGGTTAGGAGACTGACTTTGCACAGAAGTCTGTTTTCTTACCCAAACAGAGAAGGGTCAGCTACTTTTCCTTCCACTCTTGAGGTAGGAAGGTTAAACAGCAGCAAGGGAAAGAAATACATACTGCTTATTTATCTGGGGGTGGGGTGGAGTGGGGAGGGCAGGAGAGAGAGATTTGCAGCGAAGTTGTCACGATCCTTCGCGCCACCCCCGGTCTGGCGCTCTGCTCTGACACGTACCTCATCTATTAATTGCTGTTCGTGGACGCAAATGCGGAATGCATTGGTTTTTTTTTTTTTTTTTAATCTTTGTGAAATAGAAATGGAAATGTCAGCGCGCTCGCGTCTGTTTGTTTGTATAAGGCTATCAAACGAAGTCAGAGAGGAGGCTGTGGCCCGGATCCTGACCCTGATTGTATGAATAAGTAAGCAGGATGCGAGTGATTGGGTTAGATGCTGCGAAGATTTTTTTTTTTTTTTCAAGTTAGGAAGAGGGTAAAAAAGACAGCCTGGAGGGGGGAAAGAGGCACTCCAAATCCTCACACCCCTTTGCTCTCCGGGCAGTCGGGAGCTTCCCTAGCTTCTGTAGGCTTTTAAGGTCTGGCGGCGTAGAAATGCCTGCCCCCCACCCCCTTCCTCGGTCTCCCCTTTCAGTTCAGATGTGCTGATGTGCAGACCGGATTCATCTTCCCGGAGCGGCGGCGGTGGCGGCAGGCGGCTGCAGCTCGCGCTCGGCCGCGGGGTCCTGACAGCGGCGGGGGCGCGGCGCGGGAGCCGGAGCTCGGGTGGCAGCTGAGCCCGCCGTGCGCCTCTCGCCGCGGCCGGTCGCGATCGCGGGAAGTTCGGCCGCTGGAAGGACGATCTGGACCGTGCCGGGTTGGCTGCGGCTGTCCTGGGCCGAGCTCCTCACCTGCCTTCCGCCCACCCGCGGGCCCCTGGCCAAGTTCCCCAGCATCCGGGGGAGCCAGGAAGCATTTGCCCTCGCTAGCGTCCCGAAGACACCCGCATGTCTCCGGACACCTGAACACTCAGGTCTTTCTGAGGAGCCTCCCAGTGGGGAGAAGAACACAGTCCCTAGAGCCCCGCATATCCACGCGGCACTCCGGGTCTGGTCCCCTCCTTTTCCTCTAGGGGAGGAGGATGGGTTTGCAAGCGCTCTCCCCGAGGATGCTCCTGTGGTTGGTGGTCTCGGGTATTGTTTTCTCACGGGAACTGTGGGTCTGCGCTGGCCTCGATTATGATTACACTTTTGATGGGAACGAAGAGGACAAAACGGAGCCTATAGATTACAAGGACCCGTGCAAAGCTGGTAAGTGCCTGTCTAAGTTGGGACTGTGGCGCGCTGCTGGGGACCAAGGTGCTGGAAATCTCCTCCAAGAGGCAATGCGAGCTCACCTGTTTCCTTCTCCCCTGCTCAGCCCCTCCGTCTTCGCCCCTCCTCTCTCCCCCTCCTTTTCCTTCACCCTCTCCATCCTGCACGGCCCAAGTTCCCTGGAGTTCTGTGCTAGTAGGATCGGATGCCAAGGTCCCCCTCGCTTAAGGCAAATGTCCCGTCCTGGAGTTTCTGATTCCTCCCCCCATCCCCTGTGAAATTAAACAAGTCATAAACACAGCTGGCTCCTGTGGGTTTTAAATGCCAGCACACAGCGGGTTCAATGCATCAGGAAGGGACAAGACCTCCGCTGTTCCAGGACGAGGTTTCCCAGCGTCTGTTCATGACTGAGTGGGCAGGGTTTTCCAAAAGGTGGGTGGAGATGGCATCGCTACCTCTGGACACTCTCACTCCTTGTTTTACCAAGAGTTTAAGTGTGAGTTCCAGGCCAGAAGGGTGTTGTGACAACCTTTAAAGAACTCAGTTGTAGATAAGATTCCAGTTCTTTTTCTCCCTTCTTAAATCTAAAAATATTTATACCAAGTTGCTACCCCATTCAAATTTGTGTCTTCTCGAAAATACTCTTAGGAGCCGCAGTGGCACTGACACTCTCTGAAGCCCAGGGATCACCCCTCGGGGCCAGGAACACCGGAGTGTTGTTCTTTGCTCCCAGGAGCCCGGCGCCACCACGCGTCGCTCCTCTGCACCACTCAATAGCTTCTGCCCGCCTGTGCTGGAAGCCCCAAGCGAGGTTCTCTCGGGAACCTCTCGAGGGTTCTCGGGAACCCTGTGAGCTCAGTGCCGCAGGGGGCCCAACACTGGCTGAAGCACCAGGGAGGGTCTTGGGGATTCCCTGTCCTAAGTTCTGTTGGACTGTGGCCGAGGCCATCTCAGTTCAGCGTGGCGTGGACTCATAACTAACTTTGGGAAGGTAACTGCAACAGGCCCCAGTAATAATGTCCTTGGGAAAGTGAAGGCAGGCACTATCTGTTCTGTACCAAGTCAAGAGGTGTGGCTTCCAGACTAGGGTGCAGAGAAAGGATGGACCAGGCAGCTAATTAACCTAAGTGTGTCCAGATTCTAGGACTGCAGGAAATTCTGGCTATAGTTGTGACTAGATGCCAAGCAACACCTCAAATGTAACTTTTGGTAGGTGGAGTATTTGGAGTAAGACTCCAACAAGGGATGTGTGAATTTCCGGTTTGTCTTAAGATATGGGCAAGGTCTCAGATTTATAATATTGTAAAAGGAACTGTCTATTTTGATATTCTTTTGTGTGAAAGATTCAATCAGCTACCAAGGTGAGGTGTCCTTACTGTGAGTTCAAGCACATGCAAACCATGGGTGTTTATTTTTCTTTGTAAATAACCACGGAAAGAAAACAACAACAAAAAAAGACAACTTGAGTAATAATGACTTTATATTTCTCCTTCAGTATAATATTATTTTTGGATAAAAATAGAAAATAATAATTACTACTGCTTTCCTTACCTGTCTTTGATTAAGAGTATGTCTGTGAGCACGTGTCTACTTGCATTTGTTGAGGAAGGAAGAATAGCCCCTGTAGAAGGCTAAGGTGTATGAAGAGGCAGGGATCTCTTTCCTAGTGTTCTCCTCAACCTTTAACATTCTGAGATCAAAGGCTTTAATTTATCACTCTGGCTACGGAGAAATAAAATCTTACTGTCTCTTTTATTAGTACTGTATAAGACGAATGAAAGTTAAAATAGCAGAACAAAACGTGAGCACACTGAAATCCCAAGCAAGAATCAAAAGAAGGCTGCTGAAATAACACACACACACACACACACACACACACACACACACGTGCGCACGGCGGGGGGGGGGGGGGGGAGAGAGAGAGAGAGAGAGAGAGAGAGAGAGAGAGAGAGAGAGAGAGAACATTTGGTAAATACAGCCATACAAAAACAAGAGAGGTGACTGTGGTTTCTAGGTACACCTCACATTTGGTTCGTCTTTTTTGTGTAGCAGATTCCAGGGCCTGGTCCAGGATTGAGAAGTAAGTCCTTACTGAAGTTCACTAAGCTTCCTGATAGCCCCTGCTTGTTTGTACACAGTGGCTTGATGGTACACAGACAAACAACTTTAATGATTTTGAAACTTAGCTGAGTCCATTGTCCTAGCTAGGATCATGGCATTCAGGTGTGCTGGAGCTTGTTAATCTTCCCACTAAACAGACAGGAAAACAGAGACCAAGTGACATTAAATGCCTTTATGATGTCATCCCAGAACTCCATTCTTGCTGTATTTTAAACTTACCTTTCTGACACACTTTCCTTTATTTGAAACTCAAAGAAACAAAGAAACAACATACACAAATGGAAGAAACGAATGCAGGTTTTCCTGTAATCCTGATAGCTTTGGAAGGAAGTATTTTTATAACTGAAGTTAATTTCATTTACTTTAAATCTATATCCTGGAAGTCAGAGATCATAGCCTGTTACATGTTTATTATACAGTCATATTGCCAGATATTGCATATCCACTCTTAGGAATTCAGTACATACTGAACACAAGGCTGTTCAGGGTCTCATCTATAAAATGCTATTCCAAATGAGATAACAACAGCCACCAAAACCCGTGCTACCCAAGGAAAATTATTCTCAGCAGCAACCTGTTAAAAATTGTTCCATTCTTAATCCATTTATGAAGTTGAGTGCAGTTATTTATCTGTAAGAGTTCTGATGTTAAGACTGGAAAACTATAGCAGAGAAAGGAAGTTGAGTTGATTGGCACATTTCTAGTACAAATGAAAATATGTGGTTTAGTATACCATGACTTCAAGTGTGTTCACAGATGAAATCTGCTAGGATGGAATTCATTCTGTGAGTGAAGTTGCACAGAGATGGAGATAGGGTAACACTAAGGGATGCCTGGCTGACCTCGTGACTGCTCTATACTGGGAGGTCACCTGCTCAGCTGAGTGTACAGTCAGGTGGTTCTCACTCTCTGGAGTGTAAGAGGTCACCAGAGAAATGGGGAGCCCTAGACATAGGGAGCTTGTCTGAAAGCAAGGGATGATCTGTCTCCTTTCAGGGTGCTATTCTAGTAAGTGTTAACCTGTAGTCTGACATCTGTGAAGTATCAGTTTACAAACTTATGCGCAGGGGGATGGGATTTGTGTCAGAAACAATGTTGAAAAGCAGAGACCCATGAAACAATTGGACTAAAACCTCTTCCTCCCTCTGTCCTTCTCTCTCCTCTCTCCACATCCCTGCCTTTCTCTTTATCCTTCTGTCCCATCTCTTTCTTTTCCTTTTCTTTGTATTCAAGAAGGTATTAAGGATGTTCCAGCAAGTGAAAATAAAGAAGTTAACTAAATAGGGGTTTAAATGGTGCATAGATACTTGGAAGACCGACTAATGAAATCTAATGTTTGCCAGCCAGTTTGTTATCCCCTCTGTATTCACATGGGAGCTGCCTGTGAAGCAGTTCTCAACCTTGAAATTCATGAGTAGATGGTTCTTTTTCTGTTTCTAAAAGGTCAGTAAAGGTGAGAAGTTGAACTTGCCCTTTGAGACACATCTGTGGGCACAGTCATGAAAAAGTAAGTTTCTGGCATCCCAGGGAACTCGTGTTGCTTTTCCTTCTGACCAGGGCCCTAGTTTCCATGTCCCTGAGGTCTTGGGAAAATTTCCTAAGTTTCCAATTTCTCATTTCTAGGTTAGTTGTTTTTGTTGTTCTTGGTGGTGTATTTTCTGGCTGGACTGGCATCCTCTTAGGTACAGCATTTCAGAGCTTGGTGCTCAATTCCACGTCTACTTTATTCCATAACAATTTGAAATATCCAAACGTTTACCTTGAAGTCAGCACCTCTCTGGGATGCCAAGCTCTAGTTTGGAAACTCACTTTCAGGGTCTGCTGTTTTAACCAGTCTCTTCTGTCTTAGTTTTCCTGTCTCATATCATGAAAGTGCATTATTTTGCCTGTGGTGCCAGCCAACTTAGACAGGGCCAAAATAAGGGTTGCCTAATGGCTGGATAAGGCATTATGTTCTGTATACTAGAATTCTAGCCTTCATTTGCTATGAGTACTTATTTCGCCCTTGTCTGGAAGGCCAGTGGGTGTTTTGGTTCATAAATAGAAGTTAACAGCAATTGGAAAAGATAAATTACTTTTTCTTGAATTTCTTAGATCAAGTCGTTTTTCTCTAAAGTCTATTTCTTTCTTTCCATCTTCTCTTCTCTCCTCTCCTCTCCTCTCCTCTCCTCTCCTCTCCTCTCCTCTCCTCTCCTCTCCTCTCCTCTCCTCTCCTCTCCTCTCCTCTCCTCTTCTCTTCTCTTCTCTTCCTCCTCTCCCCTCCCCCTCCCCTCCTCTACCCTCTCTCTCCTCCCCTCCTCTACCCTCTCTCCTCCCCCTCCCCTCCCTCCTTCCCTTCCTCTCCTCTTTTCCTCTTCTTTCGTCTTCTCTTTGGGTCCTTAGGCTAAATGGGACCTTGTCTCTAATGTGTGTTTTGGGAGCTTCTGTAAAAAGTCATTTGGCTGTAAATGCATGAGACTATCTTTGGGTTCTCTTTGTTCTGTTGGGCTGTTTGTCTGTTTTAATGCCAGTACCATGCAGGAAGAACCCTAGAATAACCAACACAATCTTCAACAAAGAGAAGAGAGGTGAAAGATTCAGAGTATGTCATTTGAAACTATACCACAAATAAATAGTTCTTCCCCAAATGTGTATCTTACACGTGTATGACAATCTAATGTAAACATAATTTCTTCTGTCGAAGCTCAGTCTTCCTCCCTTATTGTGTAGGTATGAACCCTACATTTAGTGTCTCAGCAAACACAACTCATGTAAACATGAAATTCACAACTTACAGTATAGGAAATCTCCTGTAGGCCCATTGGACCCCGTGATGCTGAGATGGAGATTCGTATCCAGCCCTGGTGATTAACCATTGGTTACTTTAGGATATTGTC